GTGTGTGTGTGTGTGTGTGTGTGTGTGTGTGTGTGTGCGTGTGTGTGTGTGTGCGTGTGTGCGCGCGTGTGTGTGTGTGTGTGCGCGCCCCGCGCGCGCGCGCCCGTCGTGTGTCCGCCTGTACACACAGTGTTTATTTGTAAATAGCTAGAGGATTAATTGCATTTCATTACCAAATAAAAATATGCAAAATACATTAGTCGGTCCTTGTCGTACCAGTCCAGGTAATTTCTCGCACACACTCGTATGCGCACGCATGCATGCTCGCACTCACAAGTGCACACACGCACGCGCTCCCGTACGAGCCCACAAATAAGTACTACATACGCACAAGTGACAGATGATGTTGCGGTAGGTTGATGTTCAATACCAACAAATGGCAATGGGCAAATGGCACAAAAGAGCAGGTTTAGGGCTGATGTGGATTCGGTGGATATAGCCACCCCTCCATTGCTCCATTAGCGGATATAGCGTCCCCTTTCCAGCAATGTTATCATGAATCAGAAAAAAGTACCGTATGCATAGAAATGCATGGCGTTATCATGCAACTGTATAGAGACCCCGTTCTTTTATAATAAATTAATATATGTAAATTCAAAAAATAATATATAATATAATATTAATAATATATATTAAATTAATATCAGCACTCTATGTGTATTCTGGACCTATACGCTGTCTTGGCTACACAGGTTCTGATGGATATGTGCGTACGTGTGCATGCATGTGTGCGTGCGTGTGTGCGTGTAGAGTAGTAGTATGTGCATGCAGTAATTAACAGTAGCAGTAGCAACAACTGCAGCAGTACAGGAGAAGAAGAATAAAGGTACTGCATGGTGGCCCCTCATGCAAGGTCTTCATTACAGTTCACGTACACTGAAATTGAAATGATTCTGATACGATTAAAATGAAGTTGTAGGCCATATATATACATGTTGGATCACGTGTATACTAGCTGTACATGATCGAGTGTATAATCGATATACGTCATATCTGTATATATTATACGCTATACATATATAAATATAGGCCTATATATCAAGAGTCCATAATAGAGACGCTATTATATATATATATATATATGCTATTATATATATATATATCAGTTGAGCGCTGTTGCTCTGCAGCACTTGTTGGTACAAGTTACATCTCTTATAATCATTGTATTTGCATTCACGTTGAACAAAGGCATGATCAACCACCGTAAATCACTTCCATAACCATATTCTTCTATATTCTTATTCCGATTCCTACTTCCATTTCAGCTATGTGTCATGTGTGCTTGGTTGCCCGTACGAAGGAAAAATCGAGCCGCAGTCTGTTGCTAAGGTAAAGTTCTGCGCGTAACGTTCTCCCCTGCGTCCGAACTTCTCTTCGCTCGTGTCCTTCACTCATCGTTTACTCTGTCGCATCGTTAATTCTTCACTCATCATGTTTTCCGGCGAACACGCGAAGCCTCGCGGATAACGCCGTTGCCGTGACGACCGCCTCTGTCTCCGCAGGTCGTCGAGAAGCTCTACGACATGGGTTGCTACGAGATCTCGCTGGGCGACACGATCGGCGCCGGCACGCCGGGAGAGATGCGCCGCCTGGTGGACGCCGTCACGGCGCGCGTGCCTGTCGATGCGATCGCCGTGCACTGCCACGACACGTACGGACAGGCCCTCGTTAACATCCTCGTCGCACTGGAGGTGCGTGCGCGCTTACATTATCTACTGTATTACAGTTACATTACCTACTCTATTACAGTTATGTTACGTACTGTATTAGAGTTATATTCAGAGATGAGAATTTCCCGCGGTTCCCCGCGCTTTTCACTTTCGAAATTTATCAATTTTCCAAATCGTTCAAATCATTGAGAAAACTGTAGGAGGGTGTACTGCCACCCGCGGACATTGGAAAAATGTCCCGCGGCTAGTGATGCTCTTTTACCGTCTGACCCCGCCATCCCGCGATCGACAAATGTACTATTCATTCGCGCACTGCGTGAAGAAGCTAGTTTTCGAAAATTCTGTGCCTCAAAATGCATCTGCAAGCCTCTAATTAAAAAACAATTTCTGAAGGAGGACTCCCAGACCCCCCAAAAAAGTTCTTTGCACCTGCAGTGTACAATGTAGCGCTTTGCTCTATGCTACCAGTAAGTAGAAATATATCTCACAGATTTTGTCCGGGGCCGCCATTCTCATCTCTGTACATTACGTACTGTATTACAGTTATATTGTATATTGTACTTCTGGTGTGCTTATGTTACGTATTGACTGTATCAAACTTATGATTCTACTTATGATTCTACTATGATTCTACTATGATTCTACTTTTGATTGTACTTTACATTACAATCACGTAATGCATACATTATCATATGTATTATGTTATAGCTGCGTTGGCCGTCATACACAGTGTACCTCTCAGTCAGTGACTTGATTCTCAGATGTCTTGAGATAGCTTAAATTGAAGTGCATTTCAGTTAAGTGAAGGTCAAAATGCGGGTGGCGACACACCTAATTAACATACCTGTTTCCACTCTATCTCTGTGTGTTTAGGGCGGCATTACCGTCGTGGATTCGTCGGTGGCGGGACTCGGTGGCTGTCCGTATGCCCCCGGGGCTAGCGGTAACGTGGCCACAGAAGATGTCGTGTACATGCTGGACGGGCTCAAGATACAGACGGTAAGACGTGTCTCGTATCCCTTTAGCCAGCGGAGCATCCCCAACCTCTGCTGCGAGTCCATTATTTCACAGTCGTCTGTCGTGATTCCGATTGCCGTAGGTGATTGCTGAGAGGGGTGCTGCGGGTGTGATGGTGAAGGGGGTTACACCGAGACTGTCTTCCACGAACCATTGATCTTACAACTGCCTGATGGGTTTTATGTCTTGTTTGTCTTCTGTTGGTGTGTTATGTTGGACATTTTTTCATCCTAATTTTTTACGTAGAGCTGTGAGGGTGTTGTAAGTACGGTAGATTGTGTAGTTCGAGTGTAAGACAAGTGGAATGATGTTTGTAGTTACCGTTAGTGTTTTTACTATATATTACTAGGACTATTTACTATATTTATTTATGTAGTGTTCCTATTTTCAATAACCAGAAACGATATAAAATTTAATATTTTTCATGTAAATTTTTTGGTGATTTATTTCCAGGGTGTGGATCTACAGAAGCTGATAGGTGTTGGTGAATTCATCTGCCACAAACTGAACAGAAAAAGCAATTCTAAAGTATCGCAGGCTCTTAGCAAACTATGATGAAAACTAGCATAAAGCATAATTATTATATAACTAGTTGTTATATATGATAACAGGCTATCAGCAGGCTATGATCTTGCAATTTAGTATTATCATGATCATGAAATCAAATATAGCAAGAGTGAAGGTTATTGATGATGGCGACCCCAGCAGTTAGAAACCGGTGTGCTAATGTTTATGAATATGCTTGAATACTAACAATTCTTTTGAATATAGGGTAAAATGTAACAAACAGTGCTGTGGAATAAAGTAGGCTTCTTAATATTCCTAAGATGGTGCCATTTTATTAAATTAACAAGTAAATAGTACGAAATTGCATGCAGGTGAATATACACATATAGCAAGAGAGTTAATCAGGTAGTTAAAGATGCATAGCTGTTGTTATATGCACGGATGAAAGAGAGCATTATTAAACTGTGATCATAGTTGCTTAATTTTTTCATGACTGTACAGATAATTATTTTTAGATAGTTATGTAAGTTATTGCAAAATGTCATGAATAAACATGTATATAGTTACACAAGAAACTTGATTGTATTTGTAGAATTGCTACTTGCATTTGTGCATTGAAATTCTGTTATTCTTGACATTTTATCATTGAAAACATTAATATTAGTATATTTTAATCAAATTGGGTATAAAAATGTGGAATGCAATTTTATTAATATAAAACATGCAGATGACATCATAATTGCGTGTTATTTTGCACGGATTTGAGCCACGAAAATAAAGGACAACACGTTAGAATGCATTGTTTACGCACAACATGCCTTTTTATTATATTACGAGACGGTACAATACAAAATTAAACATAATAAATAATGTTCTGTAAAACAGTAATAAAAGTCATACTGCCTTGGTTGAAAAACCTCTTACATTTGTAAATTGTGGAATGCTACAAAGAAAAATCTCGACTGCATCCCTATCTAGCACTGACGTTAAGTATTATAAGCAAGCAACGTAACAATTTCTTGCCTTACTGTGATAGTCAGGTTTGTAAGAATTAGAAGATACGTGTGCAAGAAAGGTGTGAGAATGACTACTGATTTCTTCTTGTTTGAATTTTTGAGTGATTGTTAATTAAAACAAGTAGACTTTTTCTCAGCTTCTTTCACAGAAACGCCAGTGATCATTCACACACTATTATTTCTCATACCCACATATTATTAAACATCTGAGTGTGACTGCGACACAGAAAAGTATTGTTGTTTTGCAGGAACTAATAATACATTCGCTATTAGAGCCCATGGCACAATTATTTTTAGTCTGTTTCTGAGCTCGCCTATAAAAAGAACAACTTTATTTATATTAGGGTCTAAAATACAGGGCACAAGAAATATCTTGTAACATCAAACAAAAAGAAGCTGCCATCTAGTTAGAATATTTATAATATCATTGGCAGCAGCAGCATACAGACTAGCATGGAATTGATGTGCTTGACTAAGCAATACGCGAGATAATGGATGGGATTGAGAATCGAAAAGTCACATGCACTGTCCATTGGAATGTATTCAATCATCAACAACGATAATAACAAAAAAACAAGAAGATTGGAAGCATTACATAAATCACAACACGGTAGGTAATTCAGAGATTCTGAAGTTTGAGAATGATTTGACATTAAAAATCTGTGAAATAAAAAAAAACATACAGTAGTAATCGCTAATCACAGGTAAGAGGTAAATAAACTATAGACTATTGGGGGAATGGAAAAAGTTTCCTCAGTTCTCTCACCATAAATAGAAACTATAGCAGCAGCATGCCCACACAAGGTCCCAGCTCCACATAACCTTGAGGTATTAGATCAACAATATATTAACATCATATTAATGGATTTGATGAGATTCTCTAAATGGAAATGCATAATTTGATCATAACTGGAAAATTTTCAACAAATGATGTCATGATTTTACCCAAGAGAGAATCAGTGCATAAATAATCAACACGGCATGATTACTGGGAATCTGATATGACAATTGTAAACTTCACATTTAAAACTGCTTTTTTTCATTTGATCTAACTGCACAAACATGTGCTTACCATGATATTCGTAATGGTATTTACGACTGACATAACACATGCCCCTAATCAAATGTGCAATAATGGCACGAGTTCTTCCCTCTAAATATATATTTAGTCTAGCCATAATTACTTCATGACAGCACATCCACGACATTAACACCATCTTTATTACAATAGACGCTTAGTTAGCAAGGCCCACTATAAGACTTGATGCATAGTCACTAGTGTCCATCGTAACTATAACAGCATCAGTCACAACAGTAGTTAGCCAGCATTTCACCTGCAAGTCAACTGCGAAAACAAATGACCTTTCGGTCATCCATAACTTGGCAAACCCGATCACGTGAAGTCAACATGACAGTGATCACCAACATTTCCCCTTCTGACAATATTACCTAGTCTCCAAGTATTGTCTCTCTATCACCAACGTTAGGCGGTGGCATACGGATACTTATCAGTGTGACAGTGGTACACAGGTTACACACATGAAAATTAGTACTTCGCGATCTTACCAGTACCCCGCGAGTCGGCGTGACCTGCGATGATATCTTCAGTTTTGTCGAGGACGTTAACAACACCGATTCCTTTCGGCACACTCTCTATGTTGTGTCCCTTCGCTTTCAGCCCATCGACTGTACTGCGCGGAAAATCCTCTGCAAAACAGCATCGACAAACTTTGATTAGCTAGCTTTCATTGCATGTACGCGTGGGAAATCTTAAGCATTCACAGATACGTGACGTATATCAAACGTAAATGGTGAACTCCGAGTTGCAATCAGAAAAAAATTGTAGTAAAGGTTACCTTCTATGTAGACTTTATTGGAGCGTGCGTCGGGGTGGAGACGAGGAGACTCTATCGCGTCAGTCACAGAGCTTCCCCCACTAATGATACTAACCATTACCTGCACAAAGTTTACAGTCGTTACAGTTACACGATCGCAGAGATACAGCCACTCCCAAGATATTAATCTGTATCTATCTACTGTAGGTATGCATGGCTACTATTTTTGAGGACGTGGAAGAAACAAAGATCTAACACAGTTCGAACAGAGATGGACACAGTTTCCAAGCTTTTTAATGGTGTTATGTATTGAATTCCCAAATCTCTAACAACATATGATAGATGATTATATTATTTTCTAATTTGACATCTAGCGCAGAAAAAACATTCAAGAACATTAAAGCTATTTACACGCAACACCTTGAGCAAGCATGCAATGTCTAATCATGAGTAGCCTAATCACACCTGTACGAGGCTGCTAATGATGTGGCTTCCTTTCGTGGCACCGCTAGCTCCTCTAAGCCCACATGGTTTGTCTAGTTTTTGGAAGATGAGAGGTGCCATATCGGACAAAGGTCTTTTACCAGGCATCATCTGGTTTTCCTGCCAAGAATACAAAGCATTATATTAATCAAGTAAACTTATTAGACTATTAAACTCTTGGAAAATCTGTTCATATATCTGTTACAAACCTTGTTAGCAATGCTCAACGATTTCGGTGAATTCGGTATGTAGAATCATTAACAAGAACTATGAAAATAAGATTTGAAAAAAGAACACTGTGGAATGCAAGGGAGGGGTAAAGAGTCAACTCTTGTACCACACCCTTTAGATCATACCGGATTATGTGTACTCCTATCAAAATCTAGTATGGCATCATTCAGCAGAATACCAGAGCTTGTCATGATTTTAGATCCGAAAGGAGACCCCAATGAACTGAAACGGGGAAATGCGTAAGCAACCATTACGAATATTCATTAATCACAAACAGTTCAAAATCAAACAATATAATGAACACGATTCGATCAATCGACAATCCTCAGACACCTAGATATTTCTGAAGCTGGGAGCTAACATCAGTTAATGCTGTTCAATCAGTAGACAATCCACAGACACCTATATCCACAGATATTTCCGAAGCCGCGAGCTAACATCAATTGGACACGCCACGCAGTGTGGCTCCAGATCGGTTTTCCTCATGCCGCTGGCGAGGGCATTTCACGCTGATCGGTACCTTGTCACGGACACCACGACGTCGTCCTGGTCTATGACAGATACGTGTGCAGTTCCCTGCCTCTCGCTGCCTTCTACGAATGGCTCATAGTCACCGATGACCGAATCGACGCTGATCTTGCTCCGGAGCAGAGCAGCTGCCTCCTTGCTGTCGTGGACAACACATAAACGCGATCAGTAGTTCCCCAGTCACGAAACACTATTTAGATATGCACACGATTGCATGTGCATTCAATGCTTATACCACGGAACCATTCATTACGTTTTCACATCAAGCAGTAACATAAACTCGTGATGAACATTTTGAAATGGCTAATGACGCGAACTCACTCGAGCATTAGTTTGGTTATATTATCCACACGTGGTTGGAAGTCTGGGTCCCCTAGACTAGACTGCTGTGCAAATGCGAATTTTAGTGCCTGCAAATTAAAATGCAGTTTAAATCGTGAAACTCACATGCTATCCGAACTACAAACTAAACAAGTACACTAATGTGTCTCACACGTAACGTTCTCATTAAAACATGTTCTGACAAATAGACTGTCTATTCGAAAGAATCTAGAGTTGAACTCACGAAGTAAATACCAGCCAATCACAGCCGAGCGAGAACAGTCTATTACGTACAAATGAAGAAAATGTTCATGAAATGGTCAAATTCAGACAAGGCAAAGTAGAACACGTGTGTACGCCTAGCACTATGTTGTTTATGGCTGTGCTTACTTCAATGATGCAATGGTATGTGTAGTTGCTCCTCAAATTGTCAGCTTTGATACCCAATCCCTCGAGGATGTTAAGAGCAGACAGGACTACTGCACCGGATGCAGGTGCCCCAACAGTACGCATGTTATACCCTGCAAAATAACCAAAATATTTGTTGTAATATACCGAAAAGATAAAACAATTCTATATGGAACTGGACTAACTTGGCTTATGACAGCTTCAACATAATTTTATTACATACGATATAAGTTTACAAGTTCACACACTTCATCAAACAAGCACCAAAGCACCAAGCCATCGCATTATCAAAGTAAATGCAATTTTCACCACTAAAGTTTTGTGAGATTGCTTATTATCATAGTACCAGATGCACTCAACACATTTGAAAATTAAGATATAGCCTTAATCTGTGTGCCAATTGTGCTCCCTATATACAAAATTAAAACACTTGGAATAACTGAATAGTTACATACATCCTCGAACAATTTTATACTTATGTAATAGTATATATACTATACAAGTGGTAACAACAGCTAATAATATCTAGAGTGTACAACGGGAAAACAGTGCTATTTTACGGCAATTTTATTCTACTTTGACTGAGAGTCTATAATGATTTTATGGTATTGCATTAAGCAGCATTCTTTGCTCTCTAAAACAAGACCAACCGCTTGTCACTACGATACTCCTAGGCTGAGATATTGGCGCGTAAACCTCGCCTCCCACAGGCCTCACGACGCCTCGCATCCACATTATTCCCGCACCTTTGCGCGTTTTGCGGTTTTGGCTATCGTTTTCCCTCGCCGCTTGGAACAATGATAATTGATGTCACATGCCCAAATTTGGTACTCTTACTACACCATAGTACATGTAGTAAGTAGTAACTTAACTGCGTTGCAGAGAATTAATTTAGAAAACATTGCCGGCTCCATCATTACGAGCATTATCCGTGCTAAGAAAGATAAATGAAGATAAGGGCCTAGGTGATGCCCCCCGAAAGCCAACGATGATAACCAAAATGCCGTTCATTCATAAAGCCATTGCAGAAAAAAACGAACTCTCACGAAGCGACTTTCTTAAAGCGTTTTAAGCGCACAAAGGTTCGGGAATATGCGGTATCACGGCATCGGGAGGCCAGTGTGGGAGGCATGATTACGATCCAATATCTCGGCCTAGGAGTATCGTACAGACAAGCGGTTGGTCTTGTTTTAGAGAACAAAGAACGCTGCTTAACACAATACCATGAACTTACTCTAGACTAGCAGACAAAGTAGAATAATATTGTCGTAAAATAGCACTATTTCCCCGTTTTCCCATTGTAAACTCTAGGTATTATTAGCTCTTGGCGGTAAGGACAAAGTTAAGCATCGGTATTTTTGCAATGAATTTATTGAAGGATAACTTGATATGCAGGAGCAGGCATGAATATAAAAAGGACAGTTACAGGGATAGCTTAAAAATTTTGTTACCTGAGATGTTTAATGACAGCGGTAACCTCTCTATCGCATCATATGTTTTAAGATCGTTTCTAGACATCACACCACCTGCTGCAGACACCTATGAGCAGAAAACTACATCAACATCTAATCTCCTTATTCCGAGTGATTAGAGAGTCATTTCCAGTTATCCACTAAAGTTTCCTAGCTGTAGTTTATTATTAATTAAATGAAGAGCAATCATAGTAGCTTACAGGTTGTATAAATCATGCATATATCCTTAGACGTGTTGGGCTATTATTGGACAAGATACGAGTTCATCTCCTTTGTTACTGAGGAACAACGGGATACGATCGAAACACTTACCGCTCTCACAATGCTATTTGCAATCCCGCCTTCATAGAAACTATCAGACCCTTGGCTTGCGATGACCCGCAGCGACGAGGCAAGATCCACCCGTGTCACAAGGTCACCAGCTGTCTTCCACTTCCCATTGTACGTGTAGTAGAGTGACATGTTGCCGAACGCAGACAGTTCGCCATACGTAAATTTCTTCAGCGCTTTCTCTGAAGATGTAAAGATTTTTCAATGACGCGGATGGACTTTGTATTTGCGTAAACATCGTTGACGAGCCAATGCAAATTACCACGATGCTGACACATAGAGTTTAGTCAAACAACTTCAGACTACTAGTGGTGACAAGCTGTCACACATGCACAACTGTCTCTCAATGCTCACCGAGATCGGCTGTTAAGTCGAAGCCCTGCTCTGCTAAGTGTATCACTGGTGTGAACAGCTTCTCCCAAGACAACCTGCAAAGAACATGTAATGCGTTCAAAGAATGATGACTGCATCATGGTCAAGCCACTAAAATAAATACACCTTGCATCATGAGGGAAAACTGTAATTGCAAATCTAGCTAAGCACAGAATTGGGTAGAGTGTTTTAAGTTAAGAGACCCTATTCCTATGTATGAGAACACAGAATAGATTAGTTCTTGAATATTTTAGCTATACTCACTTTTTGTATTGTTCATGAGCAGTGGCCATCCCTTTAAGCATTCCAGGTATGCCTACAATACCTCCAACCTGCCAGAACAACATCAAGAAAAGTCTACATAAGTCTAAATCACATTATTATTATTTATAATAAATAATATTATTTAATTGCTATATATAATATTTCATTGAGTACCTCCTAACATTCCACATGCAGGCTAATTTTGCTAAAAAAAACTACAAGATTAAAATACATCATAATTATTTAAAAAGTTTCAGTATGCTATGCAATATATTTTTTATCCGTTATATCAAATTACCTCAACTTATAATTGCTTTAAACCCATGAGAATATAAGGGTACAATATTGTCATTACTAGTGGTTCATTTATTTGTCATAAAACTTTTGCTTAATACTCTTACTAATAAAGAATAAATATATGAACATCTTACTGGAAGATCTTCATGACTAGCATTTGTTCCTCCAAGATATTCTGTGATTTTCTTCGGTGCTACCTCACGAAAGTCTATCACAGAAACTTTGTTGCGCTTAAAATCTCTAATCAACATGAATCCTCCCCTAAAGAAATGTACAATGATTATAACATGGAACACCTTTTTTCCACGCGAGTTCATTACGGACACACTACATAAATCACTAACAGACTATTATAGCTAAGCATTCACATCCCATCAAGAATACTGTTTGGACAATGCAAGTGTATGGCTACATATCATTCAATTACCTTTCTTAGCTTTCATACAGAATTCCAATTATTAAGTTGCTACAGAGGCATGTTTGAATCGTCATTACATGCCTATGTAATGCTGAGTGGTACTAACCCGCCCAGACCAGTACTATGAGGATTGACTAGTCCAACACATAGAACAGTAGTTATAGCTGCCTCGACAGCAGTTCCACCCTGCTGTAGGATGTCTTTGCCAATTCCAGAACACAGCGGTACATCTGATATCACAGCACCATGGGGGTCAATCTGGACAGACATTAATACAAAATTAGTAGCAAATTGATGAGCAAACAGAGCAATATAGTTATACTCTCGATCGATTAAACTAGGTATATTTTCTAAGCACGCATCCCCGCAACAATGCATACACAATAGCTGTTAACAGTGTTAGACATATTCACGTGAAGCGCATGGAAAAATACAGATATCACAAAGAAAAAGACTTTAATTTGAGACATCAAAAGTGGTACACATAAAATCCCACACACCTGTGTAGTTCCAACACTTATTTGTACAATGAGAGCTATTGTAATTCCAGCAGAGAAGATAATAGAGCTAGCTATCAGATTCTTCAGTCCTGAACCTGTCTGTAGGCATGGGCTCGCTTTTTTCTCTGAAGGAAAAAAGCAATCCATAAAAATCGTTCCTAATATTATACTGAATCTGGAATATATTCAGAATGAATGATCTACAACTTATAAACAGCTACAATATTATGGAGACCATTCATTCACACCATGCAAGTTTTAGAGGTTCAAAGATAACATAATATCTCCACCACAATGGAAACAAAATTAGCTTGTTGCTATGACATTTACAGTCCAAGAATCATCAGCTAATAATGCCAAAGCTGCAGACATTGGACCAGTATTAAGTGTTGAGCCTGCGAATCCCTTGTGCGTAATTAGAGGAACACTTGGTGGACCCACATCCAATGATTCCGAATGCGAAACAAAAACTAAGGATGCAAAATACATTGGCGGTGTCCACCCTCGATTGTCAGCAAAGACAAGGTTGGTGTCAAACAAGGGGCGAACGATCTAATGAGACTCCAACTTCGTTAGTACTTGAGGGAGTGTGACCAGATTCTAAAAATGATCCAGCCTTCACCTGATTCTTCAAGTTCCATAGGTGCAGGTTGAGTTATTGGCCAGTTCTCAGCTCTCGTGGCCTCATTGCTGCCGGACGTATCAGCAGGGCTGACCACCGAATCCTGCTTCAGTGTTAGTGTCGGCCGCGATCCATCAAACTTATCTGGAATGTAGAAATTTATCCACATGCAATGTGACACTACACGATAAGACTATACAATAGTCAATATGTCAATAACAAATTTTCACATGTATGTCAATAACAAATGTATGTCATACAATTGTATGTCAATAACAAATTTTCACAGCAACTTTTTTTTATTTGACACCAAGATTAAGCTGCAGCCTATATCCTACAGTCTCTTATAATAATTAATATACACAGTAATGTCTAGATACAATAACGTTACTCAACAGAGTAGCATTACTAGTCTAACCATATTTTGTTATAGTAGTAGCAGCAATAGTAATAGTAGTAGTAGTAGTACTAGTAGTAGTAGTAGTAGTACTAGTACTAGTACTAGTAGTAGTACTAGTACTAGTAGTAGTAGTAGTAGTACTAGTAGTACTTACTACTACTAGTGTAGTAGTACCTATATAGTGAGAAAAAGACATGAGCTCAGGGATATTAATTATTATATTGGTGTTGTTTAGCTCTAGTAACTATAGCCCGCGTACGGTTGCCGCTGGCAGCAACCGTACGCGGGCTATAGTTACTAGAGCTCATAGGGTCTATGTCCCCCAGGGTACTGCCGGAACGTACCCTGGGTACGATCCGGTATACCGGAACATACCCTGGTAACTATTTGATATAGTTAGGGTTAGGGAGTAGGCGTAGGCGACTCCCCTAGACCTGTTAGTGGAGTAGGCGAGGTACGGTCCAGCATATTAGATAGTACCAGGGTACGTTCCGGCGTAGCTCTAGTACTAGAGCCCGCGTACATTGACTGCCACAGGGCTATAGCACATTGTCAGCTGGAAATAGCATCAACACCGGTTCTCAAAGTTCCCACGAAAAATCGCTTTACAAAACGCAAAATGATCGGGCTTTTTAACACTTATCTATGTACGTGGACATCTCACCTATCTTTTTGAACACTTTACACAACTTTACACCATGTATTTATCCTTTTATTCCACAAAGTAAGTACTACTGGTAATTCATTTTCAAACGATGTGGCGAGCGCACGCGTGACGTCACCGGTATTGTATATACATGCCCCATAGCTGCCATGTGTTTTGCGTACATATCCGATGACGTCACGCGTGCACACGCCATATCGTTTGAAAATGAAATGCCAGTGGTGCTTACTTTGTGGAATAAAGGGATAAATACATGGTGTAAAGCCTTCAAAATGATAGGTGAGATGTCCACGTACATAGATAAGTATTAAAAAGCCCGATCATTTTGCGTTTTGTAAAGCGATTTTTCGTGGGAACTTTGGGAACCGGTGTTGATGCTATTTCCAGCTGACAATGTGCTATAGCCCTGCGGCAGTCAATGTACGCGGGCTATAGTACTAGAGCTCATAGGGTCTATGTC